GATTTATGTGAGGAATGGAAAAAATTTGAAACAAGACTGGCATTAGTTAATCAAATTAAAATTGATCGACAAATCATTTGTGTAAATCCAGTAAATATTCAATTACATGGATTTTGTGATGCTTCTACAAAGTCATGCGGTATGGTGTTGTATTTGCGATCAACAAATATTAACAAAAATGTTACATGTCGAATTATTACATCAAAACGAATTAGTACAGTATAAGGAATTTTAGCAAATGATGTTTATTTATGGAGTTACTCTTTAATTGCACTTCATTGGCCCAAGTCAGAACCTGCTAAGTTATCAATATTTGTTGGAAATCGTGTAGATGGCATTCAAGTAGAAGCAGAAAAATTCAATTTTAGTTATGTTCGCACAAAAAGTAATCCTGCAGATTTAATTTCACGAGCAGAAGAATTGAATAACTGTGAATTGTGGTGGAATGGTCCAAATTATCTTCAAGAAGATGAAGAGTGCTGGCCACATTCATTATTAACTTTGATTTGGATAATTCCGAGTACAAAAAGGAATTTCGTCGAGTTTTCCTTGTAACTCTTCCATCGTTGAATCACATCATTCATTACATTGAAAATAGATATTCTCATCCGACAAAGCTATTTAAAATACTTGCATCTCTATTAAGAACAATAGATAAATGGAAGAAGAAAGCAAATATCAAAATCGAACGTCAACATGCAGATTATGAGCTTCTAGGTAAAAACAAAGTAATTAATCTTATACAATTACATTTTTTCCCTCAAGAATTGAAGAAGTTGACAAAACGAAGAAAAGTTTTATTATCATCTAGTATCAAACAACTGTCACCATTCCTGGATAATTATGGTATTATGAGAACAAGAGGTCGCATTAGTGAATGTGAAAGTTTAACATATGAAAATAAGCATCAAATCATCATTCCTAAATGTCAATTTGTTTATAATTTGATTCGTCGGATTCATCTTTCAACATTGTTTTTTGTGAGACAAGTTTATTGGCCTGTGCAAGTAAAAGCGATAATTCATAAAATCATCAGTCAATGCATCAAATGTTTTCGAGCATCTCCTAAGTGTCGTAAACAAATTATGGAAGATTTACCACCAGAAAGAGTAAATCAATCAAATGCCTTTGAAAAGGTAGCTATCGATTATGCTGGACCTTTATTAATTAAAGCTGGGAAGGTTCGTAATACAACTGCATATACATTTTGAATTGTAAACGGATCTGACAACAGTGGCTTTCTTTGGTACATTAGGTAGATTTATATCACGCAGAGAGCTTCCAACTAATATTTACTCAGACAATGCAACAAGTTTTGAAGGTGCAGGCAATGAATTCAAGAAATTGGCTAAAGATTCGGAAAAACAAATTCATGAATATTCCAATGGCAAAAATATAAACTGGAAATAATAAATTACACCTCAAGCACCTCATATGGGAGGATTTTGAAAAGGTAGCTATCGATCGAATTTTCAACTCTCTTCAGTTTTGAATTCCCGACCGATTATATTTATAAGCGATAATCCAAATGATTACTCATTAATTTAGTGTTCTTTCTACAAATTTCCGACATAATTCTTCTCTTACACCTGGCCATTTCTTGATTGGACGGCCTTTGAACAGTCGTTTGGAACTCAAAATAAATTGAGTATGTACAGCTTCGCTCAGCATAAGTTTGAAGTTATAAAGCTAGCGAGTCAGTTGAGCTTCGCTCAGCATAAGTTTGAAGGTTTAAAGCTTAACGAACATTCTTTAAAAGTTTTTAAAAAATTTTTTCATCCAAAATTTAATTTCATAAAAATCACAGTAAACTTTTGAACTATAAAATTCATAAGAAAGGAAAGTTTTTTTGCTTTTTCTGAAGCAACAGCTGTTCCTCTCTTGCCCAAAAACAATACAGCTCTTCTATAGAGCAGCACGGATCAAATGTAAAAACTAGAAGTCTCATGATGATTAACTTGTTTACTTGTTTGCTTGCTTACAGAAAGCATATTTTGCGAATTTTAAATCTCTTTTTTGCAGAAGATGTAAAATTTCAGGCAAAAAATTTTCATCATTGGACTTGTTAAGCTATATCCTCACAAAATTCAAAAAACTGATTTTCAATCTGAACCAATAGATTCACACGTGAAAACGGTGTGAATATAAAAAAAATTGTTTGTGCGTACGGCGAATTTCCAAACACCGAATTCTAGATAAATTCAAACTTGCAGATTGTTTGTTTTTTTGGTAAATAATTAATAATTTTTTTCCAGGGTTTTAAAACTTTGTTGGCCGAAAGCAATAATCGCATAACCTATTTGAAATGAGATTGCGTTTTTGGAAGTGGCAAGTGTAGTGTTAGGGGGGTTTAGTATTGATATCTTTGGCATAGAATATTCCTCCTTAGCTAGGTAAACAAGGATATGAGTGCGCACATGAATTGTGACTAAGAAAATTACAGGGTACATCAGGTCTTATGACGGACTCGTGTCTTTGCAATGTGCATAGCTTGCAAGTGGTTCGGATCCCACTGTTAACTGTAGGTTTAAAAGGTATGGAAGAATATCGAATCGCAGTGCCTCCAGCTGAGAGGCTGGGCTCTTCATTCATTATTATTATTGTAAGTGACAAGTGTTATATGTTTTATTCAAATGTATAAATCATCAGAATAAAATAAAATAACCCAGAAAGCAAATGATTCTATGAAGATAATCATATGAAGATAATTTTTAATAGAAATCTCGATGCCACTCTTAAAAAGTTTCAAAACAAGATTTCGAATTTGCACTATTCAAAAAGTAGTGGGGTTTAGAACGGAATGAACAAACTTATATTAGGGCGATTCTCCAGAACGGTGGAATTTTTCAAAATGAGCTTTTATAATCCGTTGTCAATTATGCTAAATATATATTCTGCAATTTCTTTCAATGTAGAATGATTTGAAATTTTAAATTAGTTTACAACAATCAATAATAATTTACTTTTATTATAAATGATGAAATTTTTCAAAAAATTTTGTAATTTTTTAACGGACTAGAAAAATTTAAGCTCTTGAGTTGCTTTGTGGCATAAAGTTAACGTTCGGAGATTCGACTTATCTCGATGGTTAAACTATTTTATCGGAGTTTGGAGCATAAATATTGTAAAACATATCTTAATTGTACATTTAATGCTGCAAAGATGAGTATTTGACACAAAATTTTTGAAACCCCTGTTGAAACTTTTACAAAATTCCATTTTTGGTCACAAAGCAACGGACCGAAGAATAGGAAATAAAAATTACAGAAGTCCTCATGTTATTGATCGAGGGACTTAAGCGAATTTTTGTGTTAGCGATCAGTATTTGATTATCTATTTATTTTGCGTTCATTTACAGATCATTAGAAGATTAGTAGATCATTAATTTTAGTGCAATTAGCAAATAAATACAATGAATGCTTATATAGAAAGGCTTGGTTGTTTAACGGTCAAAAAATAATTTGAAATTTTCCCGCTAAAAGTTGCACTTCAAAAACAATAACTATAGTATAATTAATAATTTGTAGCAATGAATTTCCATACAGCAAGGGTTTATCATTAAACTTTTTTTTGGAATTCAAATTTTTTAACGATTAATAAATAATTTGAAATTTTTTCCGTTAAAAGTTGCAGTACGAAAACATTAGTTATAGTATAATTAAATAATTTGTTCCAATGAATTTCCATATATAAAAAGTTTATCATTTAACAATTATTTGAGATTCAAATTTTCTAACGGTCAGAAAGTTTTTGAAAACTTCCCGCCAAAAGATATACAAAAAATCATTAATTATAGTATATTTATCAATTTAATATCTTTCATTCTCCTATATAAATTGTTTATCATTTAACGGTTTTCTGAAGTCTAAATTTTGTAACGGTCGTATGCATTTGAAAGTATCTTGCCAAAAATTACAGTAAAAGCATTAATTATAGTATAAATAACAGTCTGTTGCAAAAAAAATTTTCATATAAAAAGGCTTGGTAATTTAACGGTTTTTGAAACCGGTTTTTGAAAATTTTTCAACGGTAGAAATAAATTCGAATTTCTAAACGCTCTCATCACGTGTTTTTTCATTTGAAATATAAAAATTATTAATTATAGTACAAAAACACTGTTTGAAGACTTTTAAATGCGTTTCCCGAAAATAAAACAATGGACCTGAGCTAATAAAACAAACTAGAACTCTCTACGATGTCTAGTTAAAAAGTTTTTCTCCGCCCGAACGAACAGACAAAGTGAGATATTAAGCTACCTTTTAGAAACAAGTTTCAAAAATGCGCTAAAAATTACATCAGATAAACTGAAAACCTTGTAAGGTTTAGTGGAAATTCATTTGTAGTCAAAATTTTTGCATTTTACCCTACAGAGAATCGCCCATGTACTTTGCGTATATTGTTGATTGATGTGTACAGCATTTTGAGAACTACATTATATTTTAATACATAAATCAAACGGTCTTTTCAAATACAAATTTGTTTTATCATCTCAGTAAAAAAAACAGACAGGCAAACAAAAGTTTAACAAGAATTGATATTTTAAATAGAAAGTTAAAAAAATTTAAGAAAAATAATAGAAGTATTTAAAAATAAATGATTTTTAAACTAGTAAAATTAACAAACATTACAAATTCAAGATAATTAAAATTTTAAATCATAAATTGAAAATAAAAAAAAAGCATTATATATACTCACAAAATAAAGAATTGTTCACGGAGAACAATGCAAAAATATATAAATTCCCATTATTTCTAATTTTGTGAGTAATTAAAAAAAAATAATAAAGATAATACATCATACATGGAAAATGTTCTGTTTAATTCATAAATATAAAATGAATAACCAAATGTGATATTTCATTGCGATAAGAACAACTTTACTTCAAGTGAAAAAAAAAACATTTTCGACTGTTCGGTAGCATCAAATGCATTAATTCAGATTAAATCAATAAATTTATACTCGCATAATTTTGAAAAAGTCAAATTCAAATCAATTTATTGTTAAAAGAGAGTTTTATTATGCACAAAAAGAATGTTGAAATTTATCATTCGGGATTTCTCATTAAATCACCACCAAATCCGAAAGGTTCTATTTTCAAAGCTGTAAGTAAATATTTTTTAATATACTCTTGTGGATATTATACATAATTTAAATGGAAAATATTTTCAAAATAAGATAGATGAGTAAGGAACTAAATCAAAATCTCCGTAAAAATCTTATTCTTCTTTTGATCATATGGGCAATTCCACGGATTGATTGAATTTTCTTTTAATTAAGGGGCCGTTCACTTATTACGTTACGCAAAAAACCGACTTTTTTCACCCCCCCCCCCCCCCTTGCTACAATATGTTACAACTCACAACCCCCCCCCCCCCCCTGAACTAATTTTTTATTCTAAAAAGACGGTTAAATTTCTTTTGTATTTTTTTTCTTAAACATCAAAATACTGTACAGCTAAATAGGTCACGTTTTGATTGATACTATTAGTATTCTCATGAATTATTGGATTGAGATATTAATCAAAATATCTTTTTTTGTTTTTTTTTTGAAGAAAATTCAAAAATGTCATGAAAAATATTATTTCCGATCGAATTTTGGAAAATTCACAATCAACTTTGAATGTAAATATCACATAAAAATGTAATGTAAAATGTAAATGAATGTAAATGGGATCATATTAATCATCATATGAATGACAGATTTGGAGAGATTTACTTTTAAACTTATGATTGATTTAATTTTGAACATTTCCACAAATTATGATTGTATTTTAAAGTCTTGTAAACCAGTTTTCTATTGATTTGTTACTTTATATAACAAAAACTATGTATTGCTTAGCTATCAAAAGTGATCTGGACATTCATAAATCATTAAACAGGTGGAAAATTTAAAAAAATGTTTTTGGTGTGAATTTGTAAACAAATTTTTTTCGTGAACTTTTTTTTAAAATTACACAATGTTGAATTCTGATTTTGAAAGCAGAAATTCACCACTTTAAAGACACCTAGACAACTATTAATAGTTGTTATGCCTTTCATTCTATCCTGTTCTATGATTCTACATGCTTAAATTGTCTTGAAAGACACAAAAAAAAATTATTTAACATTATCAAATTTTACTTTAATTAAGAATATATTCTTTGTTTATAACGTTGTTTATGAAAATATAATAGTAAAAGAAGATGATAAACTGGTTTTCATAAAGCATTAGTTTAGTTAAATTATATTATTCAAAAGTTTAAAATTTCAAGCTCGAGAAGAATTGTAACTCATTTTTCATGAGTTCAACTCATCCATGGAATTTCCCATATATTTACCCTCCCATTTTAATCTCTTTGACTTGTGTCTTTTAAGCGTTGGCGTCGTCGATGGTTCACACTTAAACAAGGCGAATTACCAGGACAATTTTTCCTAGAATATTTTACGGATAACAGCTGCCGAAAAAGAAAGGGAGTAATAGATTTGGATCAAGTCGAACAAGTAGATGCAGGATTATCGTTAGACAGGGCAACAATAAAATTCCAGTGGATGTTTGATATGAAAACTCCGAACCGAACTTATTATTTATCCGCAGACAATGAGCAAGATATGCGAGATTGGGTAATGGTAATTTGTCAAGTATGCAACCTTCAAGAAACAGAGGATAAAAACGGTGGAAACGATTCATCATCCTCATCAACCATAACAGCACAATGTAAAAAACCTTATTGTTGTCGATTATTAGTTCCCTTTCTCATCCCGTTTTTTTTTATTCGATTTATTAATATCTAGACTATAATGTCGGGCCAAATAACGATTTTGAAGCAAAAGAGATTACCCAAAATGATTTATCAACAAATACAGACAGCACATTGCTGATGAATACAGTGTCTGACTTTTCTGCAGTATCTAATCGAACAAATCAGCATTTATCAATTGTCAATGAATACGAAAACGATGATTTTGTAGAAAGCCGAAATAATAATCATGACGAAGGAAAAAATTATTCAAACCTGTTGCCCATTGAATCATCTCAAAAGGAAAAATCTATAAAAACTGCTGTTACAAAATCTACTGGGGCCATAAAAAAAATTCCTGAAAACTTAAAGCTACGTTTTGATGATAAAATCAATAATAATGGAACAGAGGACTATACTTTAAATCGTGCTTCTGGACCTTACATTCCACTAAGCGATTGTTTCAGTGGAAGTCCTGTCTTATTTGTAAGTTTACAAAAAAATTGTACTTAAAATTTATTTCATTTTATTATTTTTATAATATATTCAATGATACTAGAAAAATGATGGAGATCCAAAAACTCCTTTGAACTCATTAGATCCCAAATTTTATGAGACACCTCGTTCACACATAACAAATATCGGACTTAATCTTACTGATGACCAACCAATTTCTCCCAAGAAAATAAACTTACAACAACAAAATTCTAAAAGCATCAATTCATCCCCAACCGATTCTGGTGATTCGATGACAGATGAAGAATGGAATGAACCGAAAATTGTTGAACGTAAAACAAGACCATCCGATAGTTCTATAGAAAATGAAGCTATTATTACTACGACCGGTCAGAGTTATATGAAAATGCCTGTTAATAACCCAATTCCATTACCACCCAAACGAATAAGCATAGTTTTTGATAAAAAACAAGATTTGTCTGATACGGAAGAAAATGTCTCACCTATTATAACATCAATTGGACCCAAAGAAAAATCATCTTTTGTAGACGATAGCTATGATTTTCCAAGATCTCACAACATTCAATTGTTTAGTGGAAGCCATCGCGATATTGGAAAAATAGGATCATCTTCATCCATTCATGGACATTTAATGACATCAACTCCTAATTTAATTCATAGCGCATCGACAAATGATAAAAATTTTTATGGAAATGCACCACCACGCGAGCGAAATGTTTTTGTTTTTGATCATGAATCGATTTCCATGCCACCGCCTCCAGAGGTTAATCGCACGCTAAAACCCAAGAAAAATGGAAAAGCTACAAACAAAAATATCCAAAACGCACCTGTTATTGATAGAAAATTAAAGCCATCAACTTCAAAGGTAACATACAAAAATTTTTTTAATTTTCCTGTAATAATTAATTCTTAATTAAAATGTACTTTTTAGTCGCTAGTTATGGCAGAAACAAATTTACCGAAAAGACGCGGCCCAGAAACAATCTCATTGACAGAAGTTGATGACTCATTACTTAATGACTCATTGGTGAGTAAAATTTGCTTAAAATATCTGATAAAAAGATATGTTAAAAATATCTTTGTAGGCATCAAATCAATCATTCGGCTTATCACCAAAAACTCCCGATCGACTACAATATTTAGACTTGGATCATACTAGTAGTCCCCAAAAAAGCATGCTTGGATCAATTGCAGCAACATCGATTGCTAGTAATATGGCAAGTTTAGACATTTCATTAAATGGGTCTATTAAAGAGGGTGTTGGAGTTGCATATACGACTGTTGATTTTTTAAAAACGGATGCTTTTAACAGAGTCCGCGAAGATTCCGAAATGACAAGAGCCAGTAAGTCAAGAATCAAAAATTGAGTACCTTTATAATGCAGAAAAATAAATTACATGAAAAGTATTTTTACATGTTGATTATCAAGTAATTCAATTACAATGCCTTATACTTTTTTAAATTCATAATCCCTGTGATTTAAGAAGTTTCATCCTCCAAAGTCTTTTTGAATTACAACCAATATTTAGTTCAATTCTTCATATGTTTATGCATCTTTTGGTATCAAAATTTCTTGAAACTGGAACATAAATAAATTAACAATAAATGCTTTTAACGGTTTTTCAACATTTCATTTTTCTTATTGATAAAACTTGTTGATAAGCGAATCCAAATTTAAATAAAATTATTGCTAAAAATGCTGAAGGATTCTCTTTTAAAAGGAGTAAGTGCCTTTGTAATAATGGGCCGTTCACTTTTTTAAAGGACGCTTTTATGTGGGAGGGAGTCTATGATTTTGTTACGGTTCAAACAAAATGTGTTTTTTCGCGTTACGTAATAAGTGAAAGGCATTTTTCTCAGTACATTTAACTAAAGAAATGTGAGAAATCTTTTGAAAAATAAAAAAAACTTCCAATTTTTGTAATGACATGATTTTGAATAGTTATTTTAAAATAAAAATTACAAAAGTCCTCGTGTTATTGATCGATGTTATTTTGCGTTCGTTTACAGATCATTAGAAGTTTAGAAGATTACTCATTTGATTGTAATTAACAAATAATTATAACGAGTGCTTATATAGAAAGGCTTTATTATTTAACGGTCAATAAATAATTTGAAATATTTCCGCTAAAAGTTGCACTACAAAAACATCAATTATAGTATAATTAATAATTTGTTGCTATGAATTTCCATACAGAAAAAGTTTATAATTTAACGGTTTTGAAATTCAAATTTTACAATGACTAGAAAAAATTTGAAATTATAGAGGTAATGTTGAATTTTTTAAACGTAAGCACACTGGTCTAATTTTTAAAAAAAGGGGAAATGAGGTGTTTTTGGAAAAGTTTCACCATAAGTCTTCGAGGATGTCTCATTTTAAAGCTGACATTGATACAAGATGGTTTCCCAAGTTTCAAGTTTTTTCGTTCATCTGGTACTGAGTAACAGGTCCTCAAAGTTAGGTATAGGCGAATTTTCTGTTTTTTGAGATTCTTTATTCAAACTCAATTTGCTCGATAACTACTTAACCAAATGAAAAATGGTTTTTGGTTCCTAAAAGCACATAATAGCACCTATATTTTTTTTGTATATCATAATATTTGAAAAATATCTACCAAATGGAGGAATGACAGATTTAGTATGAAAAAATAGGGGAAAATCACGCTACAAAAGTTCGTGACTGCAGCAAACTACCTAAATTAAGATATAGCTTAATAGTTTTACATTTATTAAATAGTCTAAACCTCCATCTTTCTAAATTGGTACCTCATTATACCCAGAGATTTAAGACAACATTTTAAAACGAATTAATTGTACATTAAGCTACATTAAATCGAAAACTGATTTTTAAAAATATTTGTTCTATAAAAAGTTAAAGCAGCTTTTTCTTCGGACGAACGAACGAACAAAGTGCATTATTAAGCTCCCTTTTTGTATACAAGTATACAAGAATGCGCTAAAAAGTATGAAACGTTAATGGTATTTTATAAACATATATACATATATCTATATATATCTATATATATAATTACTTAATCCCGAGTGTTTCTTAAACTATGCTCAGCGGAGCTTTTGGTGCTCAGCGAAAACGTTGGCGAAACAGTAGACTAATGAATTTTATGTTTGGAAGAACCAAAATAAAGGTAATGATTTACAGTGTCGTACACAGGGCGTAACCAGGAATTTTAAGGGGGGTATTTTTTTGTTTTGAAAAATTAAGGGCGAGAAAGGGGGGGGGGGGGGGGGGGGGTCGCGGTTTGATAAACACTGTTGCAATGAATTCGAAATTAATTTTTCGATACACAATGAATCTTAATATTTGTAATTATAATTTTTATCCATTTACTACTGACAAGACAAATAAAAAATGTATTTATTTACAAATTCAAAATAAAAGGTTATCATTTAATTAATGTTTCAGATGGGCTTTGATTTCAAGGTACATTCTAAGAGTGCAGTAATAAAAAATACTTTTTAGCGCATTTTTGATACTTGTTTCGAAAAGGTAGCTTGATAATACACTTTGAACGGGACCAAAATAACTTTTTAACCAGACATCATAGAGAGTTCTTGTTTGTTTTATTAGCTCAGGTCCATTGTTTTATTTCGGGCAATTGCATTCAAAAGTCTCGTAACAGTGTTTTTGTACTATAATTAATGCTTTTTAAATACATACGACCGTTACAAAATTCAGAAAACCGTTAAATGATAAATAATTTATATATGACAATTAAAGATATCAAATTGAATTAATTTTTTTTTCAAATATTCAGTTAACGTTATAACTGTGCTGTATTTTACTATTGAATCCATATCCGATTAGTCAATCAAATACTGATCGCTGCGTCAAAATTGCGCTGAAGTCTCTCGATCAATAACACGAGGACTTTTGTAATTTTTTTTACTTAAAACATTAAAGGCGTCGAAAATTAGGATTAATTTGTTGAAATGTCGAAAATAAGTCTTAATTCTGAAATATGCTGAAATAATTTTCTGCCTAATTTTGAAGCTTACTCAATGTTATACAAATTAATTTAAGTATAAAAAAACAGAAATGCAAATATATTATAATGAACCAACTTTAAAAAAAACTCACAACTAGAACCTTTCTGCCATACTTCAGGGACTCCTTTCTTTGGATCTTGAATCTAAAAAATTGCGTTGGCAACTACTTTAAAACTGAATGTATAAAAAGTAGAAAATTTATTCCATTTTCTATATAAAAAAGAGACCATTTTTTAGTGCGTTCTATTATTTATCTTTATTTAAATTACATGCATCATAATAAATACATCAAAGTGAATATGAAGTTTTTGAAAAAGATTATAAGATTTTAGATGGATGAATCTTTTTAGCATATTTATAGAATGTACGAGTCAGTTTTAGGTGCACTGTAATAATTTTAAAAAATTGTTTGTTAATAAATCTGATAAAATTATTTTTGGTTTCAAATCTGTACTTATTTTAATAATTAATGCATTTTAATGTTTAACAACAAACAAAAAACAAAAAAGTGAAAATTTTTATTCTTTTATAAATTTAGTATTCAGAAAGGGCGTAGGGTCATGGGACCGACAGAATAATTCCGCGGAATTTTATTCCGCGGAATTATTCCGCAGAATTTTGTTCCGCAGAACTTTATTCTGCAGAATTTATTCTGCAGAACTTATTCCGCAGAACTTATTCCGCAGAATTTTGTTCCGCTTAAATAATTTTTATAAATTTATTCCGCAGAATTATTCCGCAGAATTTTGTTCTGCAGAATTTTGTTCTGCAGAATTTTGTTCTGCAGAATTTTGTTCCACAGAATTTTGTTCCACAGAACTTTATTCTGCAGAATTTTGTTCCACTTAAATAATTTTTTAAAATTTATTGCAGCTTTTTTTAACTATTTTTAAATTTTTAAATTCAACATATTTTCTACCTAGATGACTTTTGTTACAATCTTTCAGTCACTGCTTCATATCTCACAACGAGCAACATTTTTGAATTCTAAATTTTATTTCAAAAAAGTTGCTCAATAATACATCTTTTTACTTTTTTTTGATAAATAATAATGTTTTATGTTAGAATTTTCGCTATCCAAATCGAATTTATTCAAATTCTCAAATCGAGGTCCTATGGTACAATTGTCTGGAAACTATTATTTTTCATTTAAACTAACAAAAGTTATAGATAACAGTGAAATTAAGATTTTTTAATTTTCTTCCTAAATGTCATGGATCAGAATAATTCGTAACAACAAAACATTTCTATGGAATTACCCATGAGCAACTTTTACAATTGACATTAAATTTTTACAAATAACAGTTACAAATAATTTTTAAATAAAAAAAAAAGAAAGTAAGTAACATGCCGCGTTGAGTTGTTTATTTACAATTTTTCGTGTAAAGGTAAATATCAATAAACAGAAAAATCAACCTAACGTCAATTTACATAAAAGATACTTAACAGTCATGACCAAAAAAAAGGGGCTTGGCGAGCCAAGACAGAACGGCCCGAATTATTCAAAAAACAAGCACAAAAATCAGAAGCAAAAAGTTAAAAAAACAGCGAAATTAAAAGAAACAGCAGAAATTATTCAAAATGTTGCTCTATTAACGAAACTGGAGACAGCACGAGCTATAGAAACAACACCTGGCCGCGGACAATCAAGACCGAAACCTCCTGAACAAGACACGCCTAAATCTTATTTTGTGCATTCTATTCGGAAAGCTTGCGAGGAAGTGGTTGACGCTCATTTATCTCCGAAGGTTGAAACACCACAATTGCACTGCGAAAACCAGTGCCCACCAACACCACCATCAAATCATGATTTCCATGATCCGGTTAGTCCTTAATTTGAATAAAAAACGGTGTTTTTTAATCTTACTATAATAAATATGTTATTATTACTACTCTTACTGATTTTTTCAAATCTGATTTTGATGTATTGTATAAAAACATTGAGGTTTTTGGTACACAGCCTGTAAATTACAGCTAAACTTAAATTTTATAAAAACGTAAAGTTTGGTTTACGTTATATTTAATTTACAGCTGTAATTTGGTACAGTAAATAGTATAGTGTTATTATAGTTAGTTTCTACTTTTACTTCAAAGAATAAAAGTATTTCATTAAAAATATAATTCTGAGCGGCAAGCACTTCTTAATACTTTTAAAATCCAAAAATTTACTTTAACTTTTTAAAATCAAAATGAAAGTTCAAAAATCTTAAGTAAATAAAACCAGAAAATCACTGAGTGGATAATTCTCATTTTAGAAATATCTATTCGTTCGATGTGAGGATAATCACAAATACCATTCTACAGCAGCTATCCAAATTTTTAATCTCGTTGAGACCCACTTTTAACATTTTGGATTACCTATGTAATATGTTAGTATCTCATTTAAACTGTAATTACCGAATAAGATAAGACTTTTACGAGTGTTAAAAATTACTTGAATTTAAACTTTGTAAAATTTTTATGCAAAAAATGAAAGAGTATGAAAAAACCTTCACACACAAATTTTTTGTCATTTATATTAGCATCTCTAGACGAAAACTCATCATACATTTTTATACTGTGTTAAATATTGTGTACTCAAAGTCAACAATATTTCAATAAGTAAATTAATCACTTAGGGGCTGTTCACTTATTACGTAACGCGAAAAAATGACTTTTTAGACCCCCCCCCCCCCCCGCTCGTAACAAAATTTGTCGAAAATATTTAAAGATTAAAAGAATAATTTTTTTATTTACTTGACTTTTACGATTAACAAAATTTTAAGAATGCGTAGGAAAAAAAAACACTAATAATTTTTAATGCAATTCAGGAAAAAAATTTAAAAAAAAACAAGAATAAAGATGAAAAAGTTAATCGTAGTTGGTGCGTGCCATCTTTTGCAGAAATAGCAACTCATTGATTTCTCCTCGTTCAAGTTCCTCTAATGCTGATTTTAATGGAGCTGTAATTAGACTTCTTTCAGGAATTGGTTGGCTTCCTTTTTGGATATAAGATGAATATTTGGAAGAGGCGTCGTACGATAAGTTTAGTATACCATCTAAAAAAACCCATGGAGAGGGATTTAGAGGGATAATACGTTTTATAGCTCGATTATAACCCTCAAGGTTATTATTCGTACGGCGTCCTCTACCAGCGACTGACCATTCTTCTTTAGGAAAACGGACCAACCATGTTCTCTGAAAGTATACCACAAAATCTTTGAAATCAGCATTAAGATTTGGAGATAACTTCAAATAGTCTTGCAACAAATTATATCCAGTATCGATTCTGCCCAACGGTAATAAACTAAGGCGCATGAATAGCAAAAGCATATCGTGATGATCTGTATCGCCTTGAATCTTTGTAGATAAAGCTTCGATAGAGGCAGCTTTACGTCTCAAGCATTGCAAATGATGGAAGTTACATCCCGATGTCATCATCCTTGGCCACACATTTTTGAGTCCACGGCGCATAGCTTTTTCGAAGTCAGTCATCGACGAAACTGGTCTACGAAATGTGCCATCAAAGGATAGGATTGCGTCACGAACAAACCGAAAAAGAAGTGTGTATTCACGTTCGGATCTAACAGTCATGATGGCATAGATAATCGGACGAGGCTTGCCACCTAATTCACCCATAATAATAAGTAGTTGATGAGCTTTCAGTGGCGTTATCTTAAAAGTGGCATCGACGTACATGTCGAAATTTTCTTCTAAGTTCGAGACTAAATGTAAATTTGCAAAAACAACTGTCTTATTGTTTATCGATCCCTGATAAAACTCATCTGCATGAATTTTTCCGTATGTGTTGTACACGGGTCCTTTAGATTCAAGTAATGTTATTAGATCTTTTAAGTTTGCACATGGAGGCATTATATCGCGTCTCTTTCGTTGAAGGGTTTGTCGCACGCTTCCCCATTCAAGCATACCGCCGGCATCAATGCTTAATTTTGCTAAAGCCTCCATATGGATATTTTTAACAGGCCGTGAACTATTTATCACATCATGTTTTAATTGACTGAATGCTTGTTCGAATTCTGCTTTAGCTTTGTGATTTGGATGGTTGTGATCGGGTGAATTTCTTCCTGCTAAAAACTCATGTTTTACAATTTTTGCGGTTACTTGACATCCTCTTTGTATACACTTAACGTACATAGTTCCTCCTCTGATTCGATTTGAGACATATAAACAATGATCATTCAAGCTATAAATATGATTCGCATTCCTTCCTTCTTTTATTTTAATAAGTTGATATTGTTTTGAAGGCTCCATTTTATTCCTTAAAATTACATAAAAATTATTTCAAATTTTTGGTACAAATATAGGTTTATCTCATTACAAATATGCAATTTTATAAAATTTAAAGTATTGTAAAGTGTTGTTTCATAAAAAAATATAATTTTCTGTATATGTAAAGTAATTTAAGCATCCAAAGAAAATTTTATCAAATATATTCTTATGCTGTGTCCATCAAGACGAAAGGTGAGTTAAAGAGTTAAGATGTGTACTATATATGGTTTTTTGAGAAAGTAAAAAGTCAGAGCAATAGGAGTATAGCTTGGAAAATATTTTCAAGCATCTCGAAAATTTCATGTGTTTTCAAGCGACTCGTTAATGTGATGATTATCTTAAATAGTTTTCTTTTACTCATAATATTAGAACTAAAGTATAGGACCAGGAGAAAAGTATTAAAAAAATAAAGCATTTAGATTTGTTTTTATCTAGTAGGTTCAGTCAAAGTATGGCAGTTGCTTGTTAGCATATAGGCACGCTGTGTAATTTTTAGTTTATTTTATTTCGCAATGTTTTGCAATACTTACACGAAACATAAGAAAAAAATCAAGAATTTTTGATAAGTTCTATCAGAGTTGCGACTCTTATAGTCAAGATGAAAAGAATTTGACTGTATTAATTTCTAAAATGCTCATAACTCGAAAAACACAACCACAAAGCCCAAAAAGGTCATTTTTACAAAATAGTGAAAAAAAACCATACATGTTACATTATTAAACATTCTAGGTCATCGCTTTCCTCCATGGACATTAATATGTCATTTGAAACAAGAAAAAAGTTACATTTCTAACGATCTTTAAAAGATTTGAATTATTTACTAACACATTTAAATAATTGAAGAAAATAAATAAAAAATACTAATACTATCAAACGTTTTTTTACAATAATTTTTTTTTTCAATTTAAGATACAATCGCTTAGATCTAAATGACTGGATTCAATGCATTATAATCATTGTGGACTTAGGTTTCAAAATGAATATGTGTTTGATAAGAAATTGCTTTAGAATAGCAAAAGACATTAAAAAAAATTTTTTTGACTGAAATATTGGGGAAAAATGCACATAGCTTCCGCTGCAAATTGTCATTTTTAGCACCAGGAAGCGGTCCTAGATGACTGTTTCCAAACATTAAGGACCTGTTCCTGCAAGCCCAAGCTTTCATTGATAATATATCAATTCATAGCTTATGGCTTAATAAACACCAAGTTATGGCTTACCAGGTCACAGCCAATGTTGAAATTATTTTTTATGTGGGAAATAGTTTAGTGGAAATATTAATCTTATCTTCAAATTTGTCAAAGACGTTACGGCGAGGAAAGCCCTTAGAGACTGCTAGTTTTTTTCATTTGATAGCAAGGATTAACAATTTGTTCATCCCCATATTTGTTCTTCATAATCCCTCTTCGTTTGTTAGCTAAATCAACTTTACTGTTTTTTAGTAGTCCACATAATTAATATTGGATTAGCCAATGAATTTAAATTTCAAATATCCGTTGATTTTTGAATTTCAAAAAATCGTTGCAAGATTTTTTATTTTTAAATGTAAATTGAATTTAAATGTAAATTATTCCACAGATTTATATGTAACGTATTTTTAAGATTCAAACTTATAGCGGATTTTTCAAATTTAAATTCAACGAATATCATTTATATGTTATGCAAAATTACGTTAAGCCCTTAATAAATAGAAGAGTCAATTTAATTAAATTGGTGAAGTGTTATAAATAATGTAATACATTAAAAACAGCATAAATTTATGCTCAAACTATGTGTGCTAAATGCACATCGCATATTGATAGTTATTTTGCATTAATTCGTAACGGACTTGTGCTTAACGGTTTTTTTGAAAATTCAAATTTTCACTCACGGATATTCATGAAAAAATTACTTGTCAATTTTTTAATCCTCCCAGAAAATCTTCAGCTTCTCCAATTTATAGTATAATTAATAATTAATTAATTAATTAAACTATAATGAATCATATAAAAGACTTTTGAGCGTTTCAAGTGTAATATTTTAAACAAATCAAAATTTTATATCATTGACATTGGATTTTTTCCCATATAAAAAAGTTTTACTTAAATTGTACTATAATTAAGCATTTTTGTGGTTCCAAAGTATTAAAATATTGTATTGTCACCGGGAATACGTGTGCATTAAAAATTTAAGCTCGATTGGAGCAGTAGAAGTGGTCGAAAAATCGATTACAAAAGTACGAAATTTGCGGACAATCAATCAATCAATCAATCAAACAGATAAGAAAGCAAGTTAAGAATAAGAAAGCAAGTTAAGAAAAACGTAGTAAAAACGTAGTAAAAAATAATTTCAACATTGGCTGTGACCTGGTAAGGCATAACTTGGTGTTTATTAAGCCATAAGCTATGAATTGATATATTATCAATGAAAGCTTGGGCTTGCAGGAACAGGTCCTTAATGTTTGGAAACAGTCATCTAGGACCGCTTCCTGGTGCTAAAAATGACAATTTGCAGCGGAAGCTATGTGCATTTTTCCCCAATATTTCAGTCAAAAAAATTTTTTTTAATGTCTTTTGCTATTCTAAAGCAATTTCTTATCAAACACATATTCATTTTGAAACCTAAGTCCACAATGATTATAATGCATTGAATCCAGTCATTTAGATCTAAGCGATTGTATCTTAAATTGAAAAAAAAAATTATTGTAAAAAAACGTTTGATAGTATTAGTATTTTTTATTTATTTTCTTCAATTATTTAAATGTGTTAGTAAATAATTCAAATCTTTTAAAGATCGTTAGAAACGTTAATCGTATTAATGAAGTTTTATTGGATTTATTATTGCAAATATAAGTATTTTGTACATAAACAAGTTTTAATATCGCTTTGAATCGAGCTTGCCTGGCTTTAAAAATTTAATAAAAGTAATTTAAAAACTTTGTTTTATTCGTTCAATGTAGCAAAATAACGAGAAATGGACAGTATTGAAATAGTTTTGTCAGCCGAAGAGGTTAACCTACATACCGTAGAGGAGGAAGATCCTCATAAAATTTATTTCCTAGGTGCCAATCATGCACCTGTAGAAGGTGTTGTCCCATATCCGGAATTGCTCCATCGAAAGTTGCGAGAAGTACCTGGAGTTGTCTCCCTATTCAGAATATGTGAAGGTTTCAAAAAATCAGGCCGCAAAACCATTCGTGTATATTTTGAGTGCATCAGAGATGGTGTAAAAATGAATGCTTCATACAATCCAGCTCAATTAAAAAAAGACCAAGAATTGGTGCTAACTTGGGAAATTAAGTGCGCAAACTGTCGTGCAGAAATTAATGCATTAAGAACACCAACAGTTGCAGTTATCCCGGAAGCTGTTCATGAGATTCCTCCAATATTTGAAAGCAATTCAGTTGCACTCAATGAACTGTTTGGGAAAATTTTGGACGAATCCAAGAATGTGCTCACAGGTTGGTTCCGTGAAATTGCAGCTTTAGAAAACCCTATGGTGGGAGTAGTTGAGCGCAGAGGACAAATTAGTGCTGATCTTGCTACAGCATGTCTTGATCAATTGCGGGTTGTTAATGAACATCCACGACAAGAGCAGCAAGTCTCGCCAGTACCTTTATTGAATGAGATTCTTACGAATAACCATCTTATTGACCAAAACCATGAGCTTAATGAGGGCGATATCACAGCTCACTTATCATCTCGTGGACGTGCAGCAGTTACTCGTTCGGCCCGTAGCCGTGAACAAAACCCCAGAAGCCGTAATACACGACGTTCCCGTACTTCTCGTCGTTAAATTAATAGAAATAAAACTACAAAAAAAATAAATTTTTTTTTTCTATTAATTATACACATTAGTTTTTTCTATGCCACTATAATCAAGTCTGTATTTTTTGAAACCATTTTTTTATTTACTCTACCTTTTGACCCCTGCACTTAAAGAATTAACAATCAATCGATTATAGATCTGTTTTTTGATGGTCTTTAAATCATTTTGGATCATTGGTATTAAAAATTAAATCTTTGATTCGGAAATTAGTTTTTAAATTAATCTTGTTGAATTTAAAAATTTAAAAATATTTAAAAAGCTGCAATAAATTTTAAAAAATTATTCTGTGGAACAAAATTCTGCAGAACAAAATTCTGCAGAACAAAATTCTGCGGAATAATTCTGCGGAATAAATTTATAAAAATTATTTAAGCGGAACAAAATTCTGCGGAATAAGTTCTGCGGAATAAGTTCTGCAGAATAAATTCTGCAGAATAAAGTTCTGCGGAACAAAATTCTGCGGAATAATTCCGCGGAATAAAATTCCGCGGAATTATTCTGTCGGTCCCATGATCCTCACCCTTCAGAAAGTATCAATAGTTTTTGGAAAGCATAATAATAATAAATCAATCAAATTGCATCTTGAATAATTAATTTATGTGCTTGATGTTAACAATTAGTTAAAGCATTGTTATTTAAGGGATATTTATTTTTCGTGGTTACATTCATCATAATAATATTAATGGGCTAGGTTGAAAAATAAGTTCTTTTAAATTTTAACGGTTTTCTAAAATTCAAACTTTTATCTTCTCCGCTCTTCAATAGTTTGAAAAATAAATCACGAAAATCTCAACAATAATGTTTAATTACGAGGATTGTAATGCTTAAAAACAATTTTTCTGCTTTTGTTAATCATATTTTAGAAAAATCATTAATTTCACTAATTTAAACTTTTTAGGAGTATTAGAAACGTATAGTTTTTGGGATTTTTAAGCTTAATTAAAGTATTTTAAATAATGAGTTTCACATCAATATCTGTATTTTTGGAAGCTTAATAACATAAAGAATTTTAAATATTAATAAATAATGCAGGAAAAGAGAAAAAAGGGAAAACATCTGGTTTCTGACACTTCAAAATCAAACGAATAAGCCCTAATAGTTTTGTTTGATTATATTCCTAGTTTATTTAGTGTGAACCTGATTAAAAAATTGTATATTATATCTTAAAATTTGAAATGATTTTTCTTTAAAATTTACCACAATCTGTGGCTGTAGAATTTTAAATCAAAATATCCGTCTGCAGTATGTGTTCTCTCTGAATCATGCGAATGAATAGATTCATTTTCATTTAATTGTTCAAGAGTGCTTGATCGACTAGAAACACCAATTGGACGATTTATTTTAACTACGCCAAAACCTTTATCATCGACTTGATCAAATTCAATCTTATCATCAGTTCCAACAATAATGTGAGAAACATTCTTCTTTCCGGTTTGTCTCTTGTTGTATTGAAAAAAAGTTGGGCTGGTACAATCTTGTTGCTTTTCTGGTATTTGTAGATTTTGATGATTTCTAAAATATTGCTGTTGATGATGTAAGTGTTCGGAGTCGTCAAAAAAATTAGTTTGTTTTTCAAAGTATCCAGTATCATTATGATCTTGATTTATTTCATTGACACTTTCATTTTCAAGCATAGATGACATTTCAAAATTTGAACTGTTCTTTTCTAAATCAAGCATTTGCATTTCTTGTGAAAGCTTATCATTGCTTTCGTCGTTCTTAATTTGACTTTCAATATGTATATTCGCATCGAGTGCATTGGTTATGTTGTCTTTTTTGCTGTGATGATTTATGCATGAACACAATGTATGATTGAAATTATGGTATGTAGCAGTTTAAAGGATCATAGGAATGAAAGGAAAAAGGTAAAAGGATATTTCTTAGTTATTATTAAACGAATTATTTTTTAAATAGCATCTTTTTGACATTAAAGTTCTACTTTGTTAATGATTTATAATGCCAATTTTCTTTATATTAAAGCTCATTGAGTATGATAAATGTATAGTAAAAAATAAAATCATAAGAAAATTTCATATCTAATAACATTATCACAATATGTTTTTTTTTCTTATTTCTTAATCAAACACATTTAAAATCATTTTTTAACAACATATGATTGGGCAAGAATAATTGAAAATTTATTACAATGTTAAAGAAATTCGTATCTTCTCCTTATTTTGTTAGATAAGTAGCTATAAATTAATGAATTCATTTAGCCTTTCAAATGATCAAACTGGTAATATGTTTAGGTATTTAATCAAAACATTTTTATAAAAAAATAAAAAGTAATTAGCAAAATTAATTAGAAAAAAAAACAACATTAATCCTTATTTATAAAATAATCAAATTACAGGACATTATTTTTAGAAATAAACTTTCATATTATTAATTTAAGAAAATTAAACAACAAGATGAAAAGCATTAATAAATTATTTTATTTGATATCGGTAAAGCATCAAAAAATATTCTGGGCCGGGTTTATACGAAAAACTAGAAAATGTGTCTGCAAAGAAATTAAAAGTAAATTATAAACACAAAAAAATAAAAATTTGTTTGGTAGCAAAAACCTTGACAAAAACAGATGCCCAAGATTAGACAACGTGGAATAATTTCAAAACTCAAGGCTAGAATAAGGTCGAAAGTTTACATGGACGTACAAAATATAAGTCAAGTTGGTACTGCACATTGTAGGAATTGTACTGGGCCTCGTCACAACACGATGAATGAAAAAAAAAATCAATTAAAACTTTTAAAAAATATTTTGATAAAATATGATTTTCCATTCCCCTAATTGCTTATTTTGTGTGATAAAATGGCGAAAAAATTAATTTTTCAGACCCTAATGGCTCGGCTGTGACCACATAAAGACATTTTTGACGTTTTGCAGGCATAGATGATTCCATTGTAAAAGTTTATATACAGAAAAATACCAAATTCCAATTTTACTACTTTTTAAATATTAATTAATCTACTACCAATTATTGTTTTCTCAAATTAGAAACATAAATAATCACATTAATTGCAGAAACATGTAAATGTAGGTAAACGCATGTAAATACAGGTACGAAGATTTCACAGTTGTTTCCCGGTAGATTTATCTACAAATTTATTAAAAACAATTTCACCAAAAAATCAAATTTCTACTTTAAATTAAAAATCGTTCAAACTCCCAATTTTTGAAAATAAGAAACATTTAAATCTCAAAAAATAATTTTAAATTATCAATTACTCTCAGATTCTTCACTATTTGATTCAACTTCCGGTTTTTCCGGTTACCAAACCTTAAAAATATGAAAAATTTCAAAAAAAATTTGTCAAATTTCACTCAAAATCAATCAATTTTATATTTTTTAATATAATTCAATTATTTTGTTCTCATTTTCATCATTTTTAGCTAAAAAATATAATAAAAAAATTTCATATATTGGCCACCCTAAAGTACACTTTAGCCTTTTTAAGTTTGAAATCCTAAGTGAAGTTATTCCACTTATGTATGGAATAGTGTCAAAAGTCAAAATGAAGATAACTTAATAAGGGGCCGTTCACTTATTACATATCGCAAAAAAACGACTTTTTCACCCCCCCCCCCCCCCCCCTCCGCCTTGTTACAATATGTTACAACTCACCCCCCCCCCCCCCCTCCCTGAACGTTCATAATTTTTTATTCTAAAAAGACGGTTAAATTTCTTTTGTATTTTTTTTCTTAAACATCAAAATACTGTACAGCTAAATAGGCCATGTTTTGATTGATTTTTACACGCTTTTATTTAATTATTAGTATTCTCATGAATTATTGGATTAAGATATAGACCAAAAATTTGTTTTTTTGAAGAAAATTCAAAAATGTCATACAAAATATTATGCCCGATCGAATTTTAGAAAATTCAATCAAATTTGAATGTAAATATCATAATGATGGGATCATATTAGTCATCATATGAATGACAGATTAAGAGAGATTTACTTTTAAACTTATGATTGATTTAATTTTGAAAATTTCCACAAATTATGATTGTATTTTAAAGTTAAAACAAATTTTTTTCATGAACTTTTTTTTAAAAGACAGACGACAGTTAGAACGTTACATACTTCCCCCCCCCCCCCTATGTTACATTTTGTTACAATTTTTCAACCCCCCCTCCCCCCTAAAATGTGAACAGCTAAGTACTACGTTGGAATAACTTCTCTTATAATATGTAAGTGAAGTTATTCCTGCACTGTTCATGAAAAATATGTGCTTATTTTCAAAATTTCTCCCTTTTTAGCGCATTTTTGAAACTTGTTTCGAAAAGGTAGCTTAAAAATACACTTTGTTCGTTTGTCTCCAGAAAAACTTTTTAATCAGACATTACAGAGAGCTCGCATTTGTTTTATTATCTCCGTTACTATCGATTTATCGGCCCATCGAATGCTTAAAAGTCTTGAAACAGTATATTTATCCTATAATTAATGAAGTTTTGTTTTCAGTGTAACCTGCCCAAATTTTATTTTCCCTCTATAATTTCAACATTAGCTCTATAATTTCAATTTTTTTTCAGCCGTTGTAAAATTTGAATGTCAAAAAACCGTTAAATGACAAACCTTTTCGCTATGGAAATTCATTGCAACAAATTAATAATTAGATAAGCAAATACTGATCGCTCGTACAAAAATGTGCTTAAGTCCCTCGATCAAAAACACGAGGACTTCTGTAAATTTTTTTCTCTGTTTTTTTCCATAAAACCTATTAAAGTTTTATATTTTTGGAAAGCTTATCAAATTTCCAATATGATGCCAAGAATTTCCTATAGTTTTACTTGTACTTTTCGTAGACTCGTGCGGTTTCTAATGAACCAACTAAAGTCCTAAATTACACCTATCTAAAAATTTACAACACTTTATAAAAATTAATTTATTTATCCTGATTTAACCAGAAACAGCAAAATATATTCAAGATGGCGGAAAATTCTGAAAATTTTCATACATTTTTCACACTTTCCCGAATAGACAAAGAGCGTGCTCACTTTTGTGAGCACGTTAATGAGCATGCTCAAAATCATCATTTAACGTGCTCACCTGAGCACACTCAGTTGAACATGCTTGTGAGCACATTGTGAATATGCTCACAAAAAAACAAATTTTTTGAAATTTTTTATTTTATTGAGCATGCTCGAGAGCATACTCAATTCCTAAATCTAAGCATGCTCACTTGAGTACACTCTTAAGCATACTCGTGAGCACATTGTGAATATGCTCACAAAAAAATCAATTTTTTTAAATTTTTCATTTTATTGAGCATGCTTGAGAGCATACTCATTCTCGAGAGCATGCTCATGAGCATACTCAATTACCAAACTTAAGCATGCTCACTTGAGTACACTCTTAAGCATACTCGTGAGCACATTGTGAATATGCTCACAAAAAAACAATTTTTATAATATTTCACATTTTATTGAGCATGCTCAATTCTCAAATTTAAGCATGCTCACTCTTAAGCATACTCGTGAGCACATTGTGAATGTACTCTAAAAAAACTTTTTTTTAAAGATTTCACATTTTATTGAGCGTGCTCAAGAGCACATATATTGAGCATACTCTGAGTATGCTCATGATTTTGTATATACTTCACAAGTCAAAGTTTCTAGAATTATATATAGTTATCTACTTTTTAACTATAAACATTGTTTAAAAACATTTTGAGATCAATTTCGAAGTATTTAACTTTGTTATAGTTTATATATGAGTTTTTGCCATAATAAAGGTAAATTGCAGCAGTGGTGTAATGGTTATGGTAATGGTCTTAGCAACAGAGCGGTCGTAAGTTCGAATCTAGGTAAAATCCAAAATTTTCTTAAGTGTTTTTTTCAGATTATTAATGAACAAAATTTATTCTAGAACATTAAAAAACTCTACAACAGTAAAATATATCAAAAAAAATAATTTCAAAAACAAATCAGAGTACACTCACGAGCACACTCACTGAGTGTACTCAAATGTCACATCATATGACATAAAAAATGTTGCATGTCACACAACAATTTGAGCATGCTCAAAATTTGTTAAAATAACGTGCTCAGAGCATGCTCAAAAAACGTGCTCATTAGCGTAAAGTAGTGGCATCACTTTTCGTATGAAAGAGCACGCTCACGCGAGCATGCTCAGCACTAAATTTGAGCACGCTCATAGCGTGCTCTTTGTCTATTCGGGTTTGTTATTAATTTCTCTCTTGTCTCGTTACTTATCCTAGGTTGTTATATATCAATAGAAAGCTATTAAAAATTTAGAGAAAATTCGATAAACAACAAATATTTAAAATGCGTAAATATCGTGAAAAATGAATTTTGAAAAAATTAGGTTAGGAAATCTCGTGAAAAACTCAATGGAAAATTCTGAAACGTATACAGTATGTAGATTTTTGCTTAAGTAATAAAGTAATAAGTGTGTATATAATTTTCGAAATTTGCATATTGGAAATTTGATAAGCGTTCAAGGAAAAATAAGAGACAAATTTTAAAAGTAAAAAAAAATTCTAATTGTGTGTCCATTCACTTTATTAATGACTCGAGTTTTGCTCAACAAGTGAAGTTATTCCACATCGGTGATATTACTGGGCATCATCTTACAATCAAATCAAAAATGGGGATTTAAATAAATCGTGATAAAAACTGATAGTCAATATTGTGTTCGTATGGGTTGTGCATAATTGTAAAATTTATAATAACTATCATCCCATTTACAACACTGGATACTAGAAATATTAGACTGTCATTATTGTATTACCTGTTTGGTTCTGTTACTGAAGAGACGGGTTTGTTGTGAATTATCTATATTTAAAAAAAAATTAAACAAAAGCACATTAAACATTAATATGATTAATAATTTGATTAGAATAGCTTTTTTTAAAAAAAAGATATAAGTTTTGTGCAAAAAAATTATGAAAAAGTTTGACTTGAAGTTATTATGTGCTATCAAGTTAATTCAATTATTTGTTGATATAGCATATAAAGCATTTTGATCAATCAGTATAAAAAGTTTGCATTAAATAAATCCTTTCTTAATTGTTTGTTTGTCCTTCTTGAAAAAGACCTTAGGTTACTTTCGTTTTTAATGTGTTTATTGAGACCATTACGTTTAATACAACCAAACACGCGAATTTATTATAAAAGTTATATATCGAGAACTGCAGCATTTTGAACATTTATTTGCAGCATTAAAAAACCTAGTTTTGAGTATATTATTATATATTTTTAGAAATCATATCATGTCTTTTTGTACAAAGCTTAAATTGAAGAGATTTGGAAATTTCATGAGAATAACAATTTAATTAAGTTTTTATTATGTACAGTTATAAACTTATTATTATTATTACTTCAAACACTCCTTTTTTATCCTTTAATATTACACTAAATTGCATACTTGGTTGCATACGATATTGTTATCGTGAAAGCACGTTTATTTATGTATTCTTAAGTATATTGCGGAAAGCAATGTCTTACGAGTTGTTATAAAAGCTTGAGCATTCCTTTAAGATTGTATCTACAAACGTGATGATATCATAAATTAAAGCTTGAAAATAAACAAAAGCAGAACGGCTCTCTTCCTTCCGTTTCTTGTTACTTAAATCAGTGATATTAATAGCACCTTTAGTCTTTTAACTCTGAAGTACTTGAGTCACATTCAAGATAAAGATGTATAATTAGAAAGCTAGCCAATAAATTACAAATATTTTAAACACAAAACTTTACAATTAATAACTTCTTAAGCATAATACCTGGTTTAAAGTAGCTATAGGTCTAGGGGCACCATATCGTCCTGTGTATGTTTTTTGTGTAATGTTATTGTGTGTTGTGACATTTGGTTAGAAAAATAATATTAAATTTATTCACAATAACGCATTTTGAAATAAATAAAGAAAGCAAAAATTTAAATTAATTTGAATTAGTGTTTATTTTCAAATTTCTTACCGTATACTTGGCTCTGAACTTTTGGGGCGTCTTCTCTTAGTCGAGAATTGGATCGACGGTGTGAATTCTCTTCACTTATAAATTGCGGTCCAAATAATTTTGAGTTAAGACTTAAAACATAATGTTTTTTTGTTATTATGTATGATCATTATTAGTCAATGAAATTAGACGTTAAGTAATTAGACACAAAATGAAATGAGGTTAGTGATTTGCGATCAGTATTAGAATTGTTTCTATGGTGATTAATTACCTAGCTGTAATGTGCATGCTTGATCCTTTCATAACATCCCTTTGCGAATCTTGCGCAGTGAAAAATCCATCGTAAATCACAAAATTATTCATTTGTGGAATTTTCTCGGTTAATGCTGTAAATGTTAAATCGTAAGCTAATTGCTCAGTTTTTTTTTTTGCAAAATGAATTTCTTACCATAGTGTTTTTTAAGGAATGAAAGTAATTTTTCACTTGGCCGATCAATAGCAAGCTGCTCAGGCAATAAATTCTCATACTCCAACATATATTCAAATAAAACTTTTCCTAATCCTGCCCTCTGACGAGTCTCGTGAATATAAAAATCCAAAACACAAGGAGCTAAAACATGCTTCGTATCACCAAATTTATCAAACACATATAATGATTTACGTCCTATTTTCAAAAGACCAACTACAAGTCCGCTGTAATCAAAATTAAATGCAAATATCAAAAAAAATATATTATTTTGATCAATGTATTTTAGATTGTGAAATTATCCATATAATAATATGAATAAGCTAAATAGTGAAAAATCTGTAGTTAAAGAAATTCCAAATTTTGGCTTTAACAAGCTTGAAAATTCTTTTCATAGAATAGAAAAGGCTAGCACTTGGTAAAATATTTACAAAAAGAAATGTTACTGAATAAATTAAGAATAGCGCGCAGTGGTCTAATTTTAAATTTTTCCGGCATTGGGACACTGTTTAAAAAAGTTTCACCATAAGTCTTGGGAAATGTCTCATTTGAAAGTTGGGATTGATTCGAGATCATTCCCCAAATTTCATATATCGTATAGGTGATTTTTTTGATTCTTTATTCAAACTTAATTTATGCAAAACATTTTTCCAAGAATTCAAAAACGGTTTTCAGTTTCTAAAAGTTCATAACGAAAAAACCTTTATTTTACATACATAATATGTTTGAATTTAGGACCTGTCACGCAGAACTTGATGACAAAAAAACTTGAAATTTCAGGAGTCATCTCGAATTGATGCCAACTTTCAAATGAGACATCTCCTAAGATTTATGGTGAAACTTTTCCAAAAAGTGTCTCATTGCCGGAAAATTTTAAAATTAGACCAGTGTATAGCGATATTAATGCAAACGTATTACAGGAAACTATTTCATGACGTCAAATTGGAATACAAAAGAAAATGTATGTATCGTATCGTGTAAAATAAATTAATGGTTAACAACAAATGGTATATAAAATGATTAATTAGGTCAACGAACCCCTCGAAATTTGAAATAAATAAAGTTAATGGGCAAAAACTTTGGACAGAAACAAAAGTTACTTACTTCTTTCCATTATCTTCAGTCATCAAGTATACAACTTGTTCATCACAATTTCGCAGACGATCTGAAGAAGTTACAGCTTGATTCAAACCTTAAACAAATAATATACGTCAGTATGGTTTGCTTAGCAAAGCTATAATAAAATCATAGACCTTGTGCTGCTGCTGAAGCTTGTCCAATACTATTTATAATCTCTGCAACATAAGCAGTCGCATCTCTGTGTACATTGAGATAAACAAAAGATACAATTAAAAGGCTTATTTTTTTAATAATTGACAATAAAAATTCTATCAATTTGATTTAAGAAGAAAAAAGTTTGAATGCATTGATTCAGAATATATAGACACAAATTTCAATGAATACAATTCAACATGCCAAAGATGGTATTAAACATTTTTTTCTGACTTCATTTATTTCATTGACGTGGGAAGTTGGAAATAATTTTTTAAAAATTAAGATTCTAAACTTATGCAGGAGTTTAACAAAGCTTAAATCGCTAAATATAGTAGCAAAACATCAATGAATGGGAATAAAAGTTTTCTTTCATTTTCATTGATTATATAATTTTTTTAATATTCATTTACTACTTACAAAGCACTTCGCCTATCAGGTGCAATAAATGCAGCTGGCAACAAAGAATTACCGACTCTGCTAATATTATTCTTGAAGATCTTATTGATATTAAAGCGAAATTCCATTATTTCTTCTGTTGCTTTCAAAACTTTGTTGATAATATTACCAAAAAATGTGTGAAAGGAAAATTTTAAAGTCCCGAAGTACTCAATGATCTAAAAATATTAATTTTTTTTAATTAAACTACTGGAATATTATTAACGAAATACTAATGTAAACTATGATTTTAATTTTATTTGCTGCCTACAAACATTTTTAAATTAATTATGCAAAAACACCTTATTTCTTCAATAAAATTAATTTTGACGATGAGATAACGAAAAATGTAGGAATGCAACTACAACGATGTGTTTGTTGTTGTATAATATATTTTTAACACTGTGACCTTAAGTAAATCATGAGTAATTTACTTTATAAGTCTTTATAAGGAATCTCAATGTATGTTGCTTTTTTTCATATTTTTTCTAAGTTTTATTTAATTTAATTTAATTTTTTTGATTGCTAATAAGGAACCCTCTTGCACACACCGCTCTTTTTGACCTTGAAAATCACATCCAATTTGAAATAATTAATCAAATATTTTTCCCTACACTACTAACTTGAACACAATGCTTTTTTAAAAAAGCTTAGTAAAATCCAAAATATAAACTGAATGAAAGCTGATTAATGAATAAAAAAATAGAATGAGAAAGTTTCAAATCATGATAGTGAGTAAACAAAAAGATGAATATTTTCTAACATAGCGGTATCAGAAAGTATAAAAAATTATCCGCTTTGAACATAACTGAGATTGTTGTACTTGGAGCAGTGTTATTCATAAAACTTAAGTATATTCCACAATTTTTTTTTAAAAACTATCAAACAAAAACAAAACTTTTAAAAAAATTGATTCAAATTCTTGATTTTTTTTTTATTTCAGCTTATATTGGTATTTAATGTTATTTCTTCATTAATCTCAAATAAGTCTGAAGCTATCATCTTACTTTATAACAAGTTTAAAATATACTGCTTTATAAAATTATGACTAAATAAATAACGAGGCAATATATTAGCGGAGAAACGATCTATTCTTATGACAACGCGAATGATACTGTTTAAACTGATGATTCCAATTCCAAATAGTTTTCGTTTTTTTTCCTCTAGATTTAACATGTTTTTACACAGTGCTTTTGTATTGGAAATTCATGCGCATGTCATGAATTACTTCCATGCTCGACATGGACTTGAATAAAGATTTTTTAAAATTTTTCAATTGTTTAAGACACAGTTGCGTGTCAACAGCATTTTCAAATATTACTAACACTGCCATAATTGAAATTATCGTGGTGTTAGTTTTGTTTTAGGCGATTTTTTTCGTATGACGACATATATATATATATATATATATGTATGTATTAGTATTAGTGTGAAATTCAAATTTAATGATGGGGGTAAAATCCCCGAAAGATATTAATTCCACGATCCTGCGGTATAAAACCCCGCAGATTAAATTAAATAGAAAAAATTATTTGTCATAGCGGATAATAATTTCACTTGTATTGATTTGTCAATTTTATTATTCCAAAAAATTAAATAAGAAGAAAACATAAATATTGGTTGAATGTTTGCTTTTTAAAAATATATTATTCCAAATTGTTTAAAAAATAAAGTCAAGGTGGGTTCAAGTGGGTTCAACTGATCTAAAGATGTTAGCTATTCCATTTAAAATTATGTTCGAGATTCGCTCGAATGTTTAAAGAAAATGTAGCCGTAATTCCATTTTGTTTCGCTTCATTCATTCAACTGTTTAAAAATCACAGTTTTGTTCAAATGTTTAGGAGTAGATATGTTATTTGAAATTCGGAGTCGAATCATCCCTTTTTTTAAATTAAACTTTTTATTTATTTACATTTAAATTTAAGTATATACAAAGTTTCTATACATTTTGTTGCTTTTTGTTTTTAAGGTTTCAGGCATTCAATTTGCCTTTTGTCTCTTAATTATTGATTTCATTTACGGATTTTACTTTCTTTTGTATTTCATTTGATTTATTCGGTGTTTTGAGATGCAAGACGACTGTTGAAGTTCGCTTGCAACTTTCCGACGTAGTCTTCGATGGACGGTATTTTCGCTTCTGTATGAAGATCGGTGATCCTTTCATATCTTGTTTTATTGAGAACAATTCTCAAGAATTTGTTTTGCAGTACTTGAAGATTTTGAAGGTGGGTTTTTGCCATGCTTCCAAATGCTGGACAACCATATGTGAATATTGATCTGATGGCTAGCTTGTAGATGAAAAGTTTATTTCGTACGTCGAGTTGTGAGTTCCTGCTGATGAGCGGATAAAGCTGTCTTAATGCGGTGTGAGCCCTATTGGTCACATACTCCACATGCGGCTTTAATGTCACTCTCTTGTCGATCACCATTCCTAGATATTTAGCTTCTGTTTCCCAATTGATGTTTTATAAATCTAATCAAAATGTTTGTTTACTCATTTTGCTAGAAAAATGTAAAGATTTTAACCTAAAAATAACGCAAAATTAAAATTCTGTTGCTAAAATTCTTATTAAATTAACTAGAATTCTAAAATTATGGCAGTTCTGATTCTGTTTAATCGTGTCTACAAGCCATAAGAAGGTTTCCAATGGTTTTAGACCATTTAAGAGATTTTATTTTTTATAATCTCAAAATTTTGAAACTATTCTGATTATTCAGGTATACAGGGTTACTTAAACAAACTGATGGCCACAAATTTATTGAAAATGTTCAGCAAATAATTAAAGTGATTCGTACAAAATATGGGCAATTCTTTGGATGAGTGGAATTTGAAAAAAAATGAGTTTTCATAATCCAATGTCAATGAGTTTTGTGTCAATAAAATGTTTTCTTTAATTTCAACTGTGAAGGAATAATAAGCCAAAACTTTCGTAGATCATAAATCATAATTAATTCTTTACAATTGATCTATTGAAATGTTACAACTCACCCAAATTAAGTGAAAAATTGAAAAAATATGTTTGAAAATTTTGTATTTTTTCACGGATTAAGACAAAAAAAGCTTTCTTATAACTCGATGACACAAGGAAATTTTTCAAAGAATTAAAATATTTCATTAATTAATGACTTAAAGCACACAAAAAACAACCTCATTAAAGATTTTTGTCTGTTCTATAACTCAGTAAAAGTTATTCAATGTGGATATCAATAGTTTTCTCTAATTTTCGATTCTTTGGATGATGAAAATTGATAATTCCGATTTCTGTCATCGAGTTATTGACTAAAGAATCCAAATAACTTAATTAATACGGCGATTAGAAGTATATGATATCAAAAGTAGTGTATATTTTAGATTTTTACACCGATAAGAATCATAAAATCAGTGTCTCTGATGGGAAAAATCAATAAAATTTCGATTTTTTGCTGAAAATTTTCCAAAAGTCATCCATAGAATTGGCCATATTCAAACGTAATATTTTGTAAGTTCTTTCAAACTTGAGCTCTTTTAAAGAAAAACTTAAAATAAACCTGTCAGAAAAAAATTTTATATCCTAAAATAGATTTTATATTCACACCGTATTCACTTTATTTTTGTTCAGTTTGAAAAACAGTTTTTCGCATTTTGAGGGAAAAAAGCAAATGGGCAAAAACAGAATTTAAATTGGCTGTAGCATTGATGGGAAAATCGCATAATACGTAAGCAAACAAGCATCAAGGCAAGTAAATAAGCAAAAATCTCAATAACGAGGCATCTTAGAGGCTTCTAATTATTGCATTTGATTCTTGCTGCGTTAAAAAGGATAAGGCTTTATTTTTTTATTGGGTAAGGTAGAAACAACCATTGCTTCCAAAAAAGCAAAAAACCCTGCATCACGTGAACTCAAATTTTGTCAATGACAAAAATGATAAAAACGTGATTTATTAGTTCCGCACGTTTCAAATTTTGAAAGACTTCATTTCAAAACTATTTGCAAAAACAAAAAATTGAAAATTTTGTGTGAATATGATTTCTTGAGTGAATTGATCTTTGATACATTAAATATCTAAGCTCTAGGCTTTTAGAAAATATACAAATGGCTTAAAAAAATCAAGTTTTCAACTTAAATATTCAACCAATATTTATGTTTTCATTTTATTTAAGCTTTTGGAATAATGAAATTGACAAATTAATAAGTGGGGTTTTTACCGCATTTTTGAAACTTGTTTCGAAAAGGTAGCTTAATAATTCACTTTGATCGGCTGCTCGGCTGGTTCTGAGATCTCATTAACCAGACATCGTAGAGAGCTAGTTTGTTTTATTAGCTCTGGTCCATTGTTTTTGTAAAATAATGATCTCAGTAATCCGAGAAAAACAATAATTCAGTTGAATATCTCGAAAAAAAACATAAAGACGTGTTTCGTTGAAAAATCAAAAATAAAACATGGCGCAGTCGTATTTAAGTATTGAAAAGTTCAATTTTGAAGCTTCGACGTTAGAAATTGAATGGAAACGATTTTCAAAAGAATTCAACTCATATTTGGTAATCAACCAACTTGATGAGAAATCCGACAACATTAAACTCAATTTCTTGAAACTATTGATGGGATATATGTAAGTCAGTGGATATCATCAAGAATCTGCCGTTAACAAATCCAGAGAAGCAGAACTATGAAAAACTGTTTGAGGCTCTCGAGAATCATTTTTCACCGTTATCAATTTTTTAATTGAACGAATGAAATTACGTGGTCGAATTCAACAAGAAGGCGAATCTGTCGACAAGTTCATTAGTGACGTTCAAACCCAAGCCGATAGCTGTTCATTTAATGAGATCAAAGAAGAAGCCATTCGTGATCAAATAATTTTCGGTTTGCATAACAACAATTTGCGAGAAAAGCTCATTTTATCTGAAGAAAAGTCATTACGTACGTTGATTAGCAAAATCAAAATTTTCTACTCCAATCAACAACAATTGAATCAAATAGCATCAGACAGTGTTAAAGCGAATCAAATAGCAGCAGTTGATCAACGTGTTCTTCAAAAACCGACGTCATATAAACGTGAAAGTTCTCAAATTAAGAGCAAAAAATTTGAGAATTCAATAAGCATAAAGAAGAAGGAGAAGGTCTGTGCAGATGGTGAACGCAAAAGCAGTGAGTCTAATGTAGTAATCAATTGTGATGAACTAAAAGAACATGCAATAGGCAATGTTTGGAGTAAAAACTTACTCGTGCATGATAAAATGATCAATTTTAAGTTGGATACTGGATCGCAGGTTAATACTTTAAGCATAGATATGTTCAAAAGTTTAGGAAAGAAATTTAAGATTGAGAAAAGTAATTTAAAATTACAAGGATATTTTGGTGAAATCAATCACCCTTTAGGGAAGACGATTCTTCCAATTAATTTCAATAATAATGTTTACCTTGAAGAATTCATAATCATTGATAAACATACGGTACCTTTATTAGGTTTAGAGACATAATCTAAAACTTATATCTCGTATAGACTTCTTGCAATTGAATCAAATGTTGTGTTCAGAACAGCAAAAGAATAAGTTTTTAGATTTTTATAAAAAAGCTTTTACAGGTCTAGGCAAGTTTAATAGACCTCTTAAATTGAAATTAAAGGATAATGCAATTCCGGTGGTGAATCAGAATCGTCGAATTCCATTCAAGTTGAAGAATAAGCTTCAGAATAAATTAAATGAAATGGAAAAGATAGGAATTATTTCACGTGTCAATGAACAACGTGAATGGATTAATAGTATAGTAATTGTTGAAAAAGGAGACAAAATTAGAATTTGTATTGATCCAAAACATTTGAATCAAGCATTGAATAAGTTTCATTTTCCGATTCCATCCCTTGATGAATTAAAGCAAGATTTGAAAGATTCTCAATACTTTACGGTTTTAGACCTCAAGGATGGTTTTTGGCACATAGAGTTGGACGAAGAATCCAAAAAATTGTGCACGTTTAGTTCTCCTTTTGGCTTGTGGCAATTTAACAGAATGCCTTTTGGTATAAATATTGCATCAGAAATCTTTCAAAAGTACATGACGGATACTTTTGTCGATTTACCTGGAGTCAAATTTTATATTGACGATATTATTGTTACTGGTAAAACGCTCAGAGAACATGATGAGGATTTAGGAAGATTAATGGTCAGGGCATTAAAGTCTGGTGTGAAATTCAATCAGAAGAAATTACAATTCATACAAAGTTCAGTAAAATTCTTTGGTCATATCTTTTCTAAGAATAAAGTAGATGTTGATCCAGAAAGGATTTCAGCAATTAACAATATTCCGAATCCTTAAAAATCTAGAAGATGTACAGAAGTTTTTAGGAGTAGTCAATTATATCAGGGATTTCATTCCCAATGTACCTTCTTTAACAGTAAATATACGTAATTTATTGGAAATGGACAGTGCATTTTTATGGCTTGACAATCATCAAGCTGAATTTGAAAACATTAAAGAAGTAATAAAAAATGTCACGTCATGTACAACATTTGATGAAAATTTGCCAATAATTTTAGAAACCGATGCCTCGTCATACGGTTTAGGTGCATGTTTAAAACAAGGAGATAAAATTATTAGCTTTGCTTCACGTTGTCTTTCTGAAACAGAAAAGGAGTACTGTCAGATTGAAAAAGAATTTTTAGCCGTTTTCTTTGCGTGCAAAAAGTTTCACAATTATATTTATGGAAGGAAAGTTACTATAATATCTGATCATCGTCCTTTAGAAAGTATAATTAATAAAGATATTAGTAAGATAGGATCAAAACGCTTGCAGCGTTTTCGATTAAAGTTACACAAATATGATTTAGATTTGAAGTACAAGCCAGGCAAAAGTATTCCAGTAGCAGATTACTTATCTCGATACGTTTCAAATAATTTGATAGCCGTAGATTTTGAAGAGAATTTCATGAAACAAATGATTCATTCAGTGAATATTAGTGATGATAAACTAAAAATCTATCAAGCTGAGACAGATAAAGATAAAGAATGCTCGTTGTTAAAGATGGTTAAAGAAATACTTTGCTGAGGGCTGGCCGTCAGACAAATCAAAAGTACCTGATGAATCAAAAAACCTTTAATAATTTGCGAAATGAAATTTATGTTTCGGATGATTTAGTATTTTATCAGGATAGAATAATAGTTCCTAAATCATCGAGAGAAAATGTTCTTAAAGATCTTCATGAAGGTCACATGGAAATTACTAAAACCTTACGTTTCGCCAAAGAATCAGTTTATTGGCCTTCACTAAATGTTAGTATAGAGAATTTAATTAAGAGTTGCGAAGAGTGCAACAAGTTTCAGAAATCGAATAGAAAGGAACCAATAATTCAACACGAGATTCCTCTTCGATCATTTGAGAAAGTCGGATGTGACATCCTTTAATACAGTGGAAAGAGTTATCTCGTTGTTATTGATTACTTTTCAAAATGGATTTCGTGTAAATATTTAAGTTTGAAGAATTTGAACGCTGTAATTTCTAAATACATTGAGATTTTTACAGAACACGGCTTTCCAAAGACTATTATTGCAGACAACATGCCGTTTAATTCTTATGAATGTAGGAGTTTTGCCCATGAGTGGGATATTAAAATAGTCACTTCAAGTCCTCGTTATGCACAGTCGAATGGTCTTGCAGAGAAAGCTGTAGGAATAGTTAAAAATATGATGAAGAAATGCGATAATTTCAATAAAGTTTTAATAGCAATTTATAATTACAATAACATTCTGTTAACGGATATTGACTTGTCTCCAAGTCAATTGCTTTATAATAGAAGAATGAGAACTAAAATTATTATGAAAGATAGCTTGCTTGAACCAAAGTTAAATCACAAATTAGGTGAAAAATTCGAAAAGAAGCAAACTAAAACCAAAGTTTATTACAATCGAAATTCATATAAACGTAATGAGTTCGATTTAAAACAGAAGGTGTGGGTACAATTGCCTGATAACACTTGGTCTAAAGGATCAATCGTTAAGCAATGTTCAGAGCCTAGATCATATGAGATTTGTATGGATAATAATAGGGTTATTAGACGAAACTCTAAATTCATTCGACCTGATAGGTCAACAGTATCCAATCAAATTGATCAAAAGAAATGCAATGAGTCTAGTCGATACAGAATCAATCTCGATGACTTCTTCGCTGACAACTCACTGCATGAACCTCCTCTGAATTCTAATGCAAATGTCGCATCTCCCGTTCATCACCAACCAACTGCAACCTCAACAGAGAGGAATTTGAACCAACAACCGTTCCGACGATCATCAAGAATTCCAAAACCAGTGCAAAGATATGGGAATTGATAAGAGAAGGGAGATGTAAAATAATGATCTCAGTAATCCGAGAAAAACAATAAATCAGTTGAATATCTCGAACAAAAACATAAAGACGTGTTTCATTGAAAAATCAAAAATAAAACAGTTTTATTGGCTTTAAGATTATTTTCGAACCGTAAAACAATGGATAAATACTATAATTAATGATTTTTTTTATTTTATAAACAAAACCACGTGATGAGTACGTTTAAAAATTTGAATTTTTTCTACCGCTTTAAAAATTGTTCAGGGTATGTTCAGAGATTCAAATTTATTCCTACTGTTAAATATTTGAATCTCAAAAAACCGTTAAATGAAAATTTTATTTGAATTCAAGAAAATGGTTTATTGAATTCAAGAGTTTATTGTTGTGAAAATTACTTTATTTGGTTAAAAAAGAATTGTTAATTATATTATCTCACGTAAATAACATAAAAATGGCGGGATAATTTCAAAAACCGTTAAAGAACAAAAAAACTTTTTGCTGTACGTAATGCTTAATATTTATTGAAATACAACGACCATGCTTTGATAAAGGCAAAAATTTAGAGCTGTTTCCTAATTGATTCGCATTTTGATGATTATCAAATACTGATCGCTTCGTCAAAACTGCGATGAAGTCCCTCGATAAATAACACGAGGACTTTTGTAATTTTTTTGGATAAAAATCCTATTAGATAATAAATCCACTTATTAATACAAGTGGAATTATTATCCGCTATGACAAATAATTTTTTGGATTTAATTTAATCCATGATTTTAATCGTGTTCCATAAAGATAATAATTCCACTTAGAAATGTAATTGAAATTATTATCTCCCTGGAAGATAATGATCCCACTTAGAAATGTAAGTGAAATTATTATCTCCCTGGGAGATTACCCCCCATCAAATTTAATTTTTTGGTCGAGCAAAAATCCTGAAAAAACGTCGAGGGCCATGACGAATTGAAGTCTGTTATATTGTGATATTTTCCATTCCTGAGATTTTCAAAAAGCATGATTACCTGATCTTTTCCAAACAATAATGGACGTATCTTCATTTATTTTTATTTAAATCTATACAACTATCGATGATTAAAAATTTTTGCTGTCCTTTGTATATGTATAATATTGGATAAAACATTCGATTTGAATAAATGACCTAAATAATAAAATAAATTAGGTTTCAAGAAATATGGAATAATTGGGTTGAAATTGAAATGAATGAATACCCTATATTTTTTTTAATTCTTAAATCATCCAAAATATTTTTTGGATTTTTTATTATTCAAAATCGAATGGATTGATTGATTTTTTGGAACAGTAATTAGCGGGCTGTTACAGAAACTTGCCAAACGCGGATCTTGTTGTCGCTGTATCCTGCAAATAATGTTTGTCCATCTGTAGACCATGCAAGAGATAAGCATTGTGGTGGATCGGCTTTTGAAGAGTCGTTTGTTGAAACTCCTGGTCTCAGTTCTTCAACCATCTTCTTGCATGCCAAATCCCAAATTTTAATGCTAGAACCATATGCAACACACAACCAATAACGGTTTGGAGAGAAGCATAAAGCATTGATGATGTCATTATGATCCAAAGTATGCAAATGCTTTCCGTCATTCAAATCCCACAACAATGCTTTGCAGTCTTTACCGCCTGGAATCAGAATTAATTATTGCTCTATTTTAATAGACTTTGTTGCATCATTTTACCTGAAGTGCACAATGAACCATCAGGAGAAACTGTAACTGTATTCAAATATCCATTATGTCCATAATGATTCAGCTTCAATTTGCAATTTGCAAGATTCCATACTTTGACAGTACGATCCCAACCAGCGCTGACAATAATTGGATTGACTTGATTTGGCGAAAAACGGACGCATGAAACCCAATCGCTGTGTCCATCTTCTTGGATTGTATACTTGCATTCAGCTAATGTATTCCACAACTTTATTGTCTTATCTCTAGATCCAGAAACAATTTGACGGTTGTCAGCTGAAAATGCGACGGAAAGGACATCCTGGAAAATATTGAATCATTATTTCACTTCTTTCAACGTTTTCACGAGAAAAATAAAAGAATTATTCATTTCTTGTACATTACCGTATGTTGATTTCAAGTCCATTACGGATAAAATTGTAGATATTAATAAATATCTACAGATTCTGCCTCGCATAGGCGCATTTGGATATTATAAATTTAAAATTACACGAAAGGAAGTATTCCCTGCGACCCAAGAAATCTAATTAAAGACAACAGCCCCGCAAAATAAAATTGGGTAACAATTTAATCACACCTTTGTATGGTCTTCAAAACGACGAGTTGATTTTCCTGCAGCCAAATCCCACAATCTTTAAAGAAGAAAATATAAGTTTTTTAAATATCCAAGCTTTAAAACAACATTAGTACAGTATATAATACCTCAAAGTTTTATCCCATGATCCAGAAAGAGCATAATTTCCATCGGATGAAAGAACAACATCACTAATGAAGTGGCTATGACCGTATAAACGTTTCTGTGGAATTCCGTAGCAATTAGCTTCGCGCAATAAACGCCATACGATCAAAGTTTTATCTATAAAATTATTTAAAAATAATATCACAAAATTAGGTTATGTATTAAAAAAATTACCTCTTGATGATGATAAAATCATATCAGGATATTTTGGATTCGTGGCAATTTGAGTTACCCATCCTGAATGTCCAATAAGTGTTCCTTTTAATTGCAAAGTTTCGGTCATTTTACAGCTTTTTAATTAATTTCCTTAAGAGAAAATTTGAAACACGTCTGAATTCGACAAAAAGTCGTAAAAGAAAGAAAGAGATAATGTGTGAATTTATTGTCGGAATATCATCTTCCGAGAGGATGCATTTAAATTTAAAAATTTCATTAACGAACTTTACACCAATTATCACTGTTTCGTCAAAAATTATCATTTCTAGGGGCGTATCCAGGAAAAAATTTCAACGAAGGCTCTCATTTGATACCAGTCTATAGTTCAATGAAGATATTGAATGTTTTTCTTGATTTTCTCAAAATCTACAACGGTGACTAGAAGTGTCAAGTACAAATACGAATTACTTGGGTATTTGGGTTTTTTTTTAAATGATAAGGTTCATTGTATTAAACCAAATTTAAGCTTTCCAAATATACACCATTAATGAATGCGCCCACTTTTTAAGATGTTACGTTTTAAGACAAAACTATACGATATGGTCGAAGTGAATAAATTTGCAATTCATGTATGGTCATGACTTTAGTATGAAACTTTCAAATCAATCTCAATTTTTCAAACCAATATCCTTTGAACCCAATAAAAAAGTTATTTTCTACTTTTTAGTCAACGGGTAAAAACGTGTTTTTTTTAAAAAGTTTTTTTTTATAAAGTATTTTCTTTCTAAACATCCAGGCAACTATTGATAACTCAATTCATGCACATTCAGTCATATTTTATGATTCTGGCTACTTTATTTCACTTATAACACACTCATTAAGCAGAAAATTGCAATTTTGTAAACAACAAATGTTTTTTCCTAATTCATGAAAAAATAATTTTTAAAAGACAAATCTTACTTTAATTGATAATATTTTCTCTGATTAGGATGTTGTCTATAGTAGAATAGAAATCCATAAATTTGTTCATTTAGATTTCAAGAAGAGTTAAATTAGTTAAACCAGGTTTTTTAAAGAATCAAAATTTAAAAGAGCATTGATCATAAACTTTGAATTCTATTCAAAATTGGAATTGCCCAAATTTAAGACTTACTATTTTATTACGTTTTTAGCGCATTTTTAAAACTTGTTTAAAAAGGTAGCTTATTAATTCACTTTGATCGGCTGGTTCTGAGATCTCATTAACCAGACATCGTAGAGAGCTCTAGTTTGTTTTATTAGCTCTGGTCCATTGTTTTAATTGCTTTAAGATTATTTTCGAACCGTAAAACAATAGATAAATACTATAATTAATGATTTTTTTATTTCATAAACAAAACCACGTGATGAGTACGTTTAAAAAATTGAATTTTTTTATACCGCTTTAAAAATTGTTCAGGGTATGTTCAGAGATTCAAATTTATTTCTACCGTTAAACATTTGAATCTCAAAAAACCGAGCTCAACTTTGTTTAAAATTTTAAACTTAGGATAAAAAATTACAAAAGTCCTCGTGTTATTGATCGAGGGACTTCAGCGCATTTTTGACGCAGCGATCAGTATTTGATTATCTTATTAGTTTGCGTTCGTTTACAGATCATTAGAAGTTTAGAAGATCATTCATTTTAGTGTAATTAACAAATAATTATAATGAGTGCTTATATAGAAATGCTTTATTATTTAATGGTCAATAAATACTTTTCCGTTAAAAGTTACACTACAAAAACAAAAACTATAGTTTAATTAATAATCTGTAGCAATGAATTTCCATACAGCAAGGGTTTTTCATTTAACGTTTTTTTGGAATTCAAATTTTACAACGGCTAGAAAAAATTTGAAATTATAGAGGTAATGTTGGATTTTTTTAACGTACTCATCACGTGGTTTTGTTTATGAAATACAAAAAACCATTAATTATAGTATAAATACACTGTTTCAAGACTTTTAACTGTTCGATCGGACAATACACAATAGTAACGGAGCTAATAAAACAAACTTGAGCTCTCTACAATGTCTGGTTAAAAATTTTTCTTCAGACGAACGAGCAGTCGAACGAACGAACATTTCGGATTATTAAGCTCCCTTTTTGTATACAAGTATACAAAAATGCGCTAAAATATGTCGATTTTATATCTATATTAATATTCTTTATCATTTATAATACATAGATATGTTTTAAAATGCAATATAAAGCATTTTTGGTTTTGATCATAGTAGGCTATTTTCAAAAAATATCGATTTTATATCTACATTAGCATTCTTTATCATTTATAATACCTAGATATGTTTTAAAATGCAATATAAAGTGTCTTGAAGCAGATTTAAGGGCGCTATTTTGCGAACACGCTTGAAATTGAAAAACCAGAATATTTTCCTTAATTCAGCTTTATTTCTATAGCTAGGGGGGGTTCACACTAATAGTGTGATATAAATTTTATTGATTAGTTCAAGAGGTTTAATTAATTAAAATTAAACTTACAATATTTGCTGTTTGCGTCCGTCTTCAATGACGTGTAAAATGTAAGAGGCATGTATCAATTGAAGGGGGTCTAAAATCAGGGGACTGTTTTAATGCAGTAACATTTCTATATGAGTTTGAATTTTAGTACTAATAAGAAAGGCAGTTAAAGGTCTGTCATTTGCGTTAATGACATACTCCGAAGGGGGAAACAAAGTGATTCTAAGGGATTAATTCATTATAACTTTATTCTATAGTTCAACTTCTTCAACTGCATTTCCTACGTCTAAATCAATCTGCAATACATCCTCGTCTGAGTCTGATACGATATCCTCAAATGGACTTTCAGGTGAATCACGAACTTCAGGTGCGTTGATAGGCTTTAAAGTTTCAGCTTTTGGTGGGAAATTGATTATAGAAACTTCATCATTTTCAATAGAATCAGATTCTTTTGGAGACGCATTGCTTTCTGCAAGCTTTGCTCTCTTTGCACGTACTTTACGACCTTGTATAATATGCTGAATGTAACCTCCTTCGCCACTACTTGCTCTAGCATCTGCTTGCCTTAAAAATGTCACAAAACCTTGAGTATGGTCCAGTTTCGGCTTTTGTTGTATCCCATTCGCAGACCAGTTATTACTCCTTTCTTTTCGAAGTATTTCGCTAACTCTACGAGATAATAAATTGAAACATCTTTTTGACGTTCAATTCCTTTAAGGATTATTGTTATGGGAACTCCATCGAATGATCGCTCGAAGTTCTTGTCAATGAAACTAGCTCGACCAACTTTCATCGGTACTATTAAGGGACTGATAAATTGATTGTTGTACTCCAACTTGATTGATTCTAGCATTTTCGCACTAGAATGATTCATACAATATAAGAAGACTGTTTCTCCTAGTCTTTTTGCTTTATAATCAGCGACTCTCATAACTCCAATAACGTCTCGAATATGAGGTGATACATCCAATAATAGTTGGCTTATTTTGACATCCACTGGAACAGGAGAGACTTGTACTATAGGATAAAAGTCCTGTTGAGTCCTCTCGACCTGTTGATTGTTGATGGATACCTGTATCGACATTGCTGTATCTGTAAATATAAGAGCAAAACATAAAGTTCTATACGATGCGTATATAAACAGAACTGATGCGTTCTGGGTGTAATTCATATTATGAGTGTTTAATTTTAGCATGAATAGTCATGCAAGTTTTTGCAAATTGAGCTTTGCGAGTCTATTAACTGTGCGACGATATCGAATTGTACCATCTGGCATTTGTATGTCAGCAACTCGACTCTTGTTATCTTTAGACTTATATATCTTGACGATTCTGGCTCTCTCCCAAGCCTGTCTTAGCAAATTTGGATCGCATAGTAGCACTAAATCGCCGACTTTCATTGGTGGGACATCTTTGAACCATTTGTCTCTTTTTGTAAGCATAGGTAAATAATAGGCTACGAACATTCTACTCATGTCTTCACCTAACAAACGTCCTCGACGATATTGACTTTTATCATTGAGAGGATCGTGTACTTCCTTCATACCATGTATTGATGGTAATAATGGCCAACCATTCCTGTTCTTAGCAAGGTGATGCGGTGTGAGAACTTCTTCATCTTCAGTGCTAATGGAATTATGGGTCAATGGACGACAATTGATTCTGTGTGCTGCTTCCTGTAAAGCAATATTTAGCTCAATTTTTGTGATTCTTTTATTCTCTGTTGATGATCTAATTGCTCGTTTCACTTCCTTGATAAGGCGCTCATAAACACCTCCAAACCAAGGGGATCTTACTGGAATGAACTTCCAATCACAGTATTTGCTTGGTGAATAATCTTTATTCCATGCATCATTGGCTTCTCTCATAACTCTGCACATTTCTTCTCTATCGTTGCTAATGATTCTTGAAGCACCTACAAAGCTCGTGCCATTATCAGAGATAAATTGACTAACTGGTCCATGTGCTGCCCATAATGTCACGATAGCTTCTAGTACACTTAATGTATCCATATTATTTAACAGCTGTAGATGAACAAATCTGGACATGCAGCAAGTGAATATGAGAATCCATACCTTCTTGTCTTTACCATAATTTTTTATGATGATTGGTCCAGCGCAGTCTAATCCTGTAACTTGAAAAGGACGTAACGATGGATCAACTCTGAATGGAGGAAGTGCTGACATCTTTTGAGCTTTCGGGTTAGTACTCCTGATGATACAGTCATTACAGAGATTTTTCACTTTCTGAAGACCTGCACGAAGTTGTGGCATCCACATTGTAGACCTAAAATCAGCTATTTGACTTTCTAAGCAGACATGACTGTATCGGTAGTGATAATGAAAAAGTAAAATGTCACTTAACACATTTTTCCTCGGGACGACAGGAGCAAGCTTTTGAGCATATACATCATATGGCAAGTCCACACGAGAGCTTATTCTCATAACTTTGTCTTGATCTAAAAATACATTTAGCTGCAATAAAACCTGACTCTTTACAGATCTTCCTGCCAATAGTCTTTCATAGTCTGGTCCATAAGATTCTCTCTGCATTCTACGAATTATGAATAGCTGTCCTCTTAGAATTTCTTCTGGCGATAGCACTTTGATGTCAACTACCTGCCTAAACTGCTTCCAAGCATTCATATCGTTCCATTTCTTTGCTTTAGTTACCTGAATAATGAAATCAAAGTAAATTTTCAGTG